GGAGACACCACTGGTTTATAGCACTGTGTCAGTTGAGGAGTTCAACTTCACATCTCTGCAGCTGTGAACGCACGCCACGCCCACCACCACTATCTGTTCCACCCACCTCCCATCTTCTCCTCTGGTTATACCATTTTGTTGTCAGGCTTTAAGCGCTTCTCTGTGTTTTGTTTTGCTTCTTTGTTTTGGATAAAGAAGATTTGCATATGAATAAACAATGGAATACTATTCTGCTATAAAAATGGTGGGATTGGGGGCCCTCCCTGGTGGCGCAGCGGGTTAAAGCTAAAGCCACTTCCACATGAATTCGATCTCTGCCTGCCCCGAGGTGACCACATGGCGTGGCAGACCTCTCCTGACCCGCCCGCTGCTCCCCTCAGCAGTGTACTTCGTCCATCTGCCTGTTCTGCTCCCCACTCTGTCGCTGGCGAAGCCTCTCACTGCCCTGCACCTCTGGCCTGTATCCCAGTTCTGTATGTATAAATAAATAAATCTTTTTTAAAAAAAAAATGGTGGGATCTTGCCATTTGCCACGACAGGGATATAGACTTAAAGCTGGATGGTGACTGTGCTAGGTAAAATAAGTCTCTTAGCATAAGTGAAAGAGAAGGACAAATAGTGGATGATTCTTAAAAGTCACAAACTACCAGAAATCACCCAAAGGATGAAAGCTAACCTAAAGTGTTCTGTAACTAACAAAGAAACTGAATAAATTAATCATCAAAACCCTTCCAGAAAAGAAACCTTACCTGACTTAAATGGGAAGTTTTACCAAATATTCCAAGAAGAACTAACACCAGTTCCACACAGTCTCTTTCAGGAAACAAGAAATAGGAACATTTCATGTTTCATTTTATGAAGCCAGATGACAAAACCAGGCAAAACAGAAAAAAAAAAGCATAGAGCAGGCATTGGCAAACTGTAGCAGCTCATAGTTCTCTGTTGCTGCTATTGAACAATATACCTGAGTGCTAAATATGATACGTGAATGAATGGAGGTGACTGGCAATCCAGGTCCCTCGATGCATATTTGCACACACACACAAACTCTATGGAAATGTTTACAGCCACTCTAATCATAAATGCCAAAACATTGAAAATGACACCATGGTGTCATTCAGTTTAAGGGATGAATTGATAAATCTGTAGTTGTCACCACCCTGGAATATTATGCAGCAATAAAAAGGAATGATGCATACAGAACAAGAAGAATCTTAAATGCATTTGCCAGCTTAGAGAAGTCAGACTCAAAGGTCATGTATTTTCAAAATTCCATTTATGTGCAATTATGGCTAGGACAAAGCGCAGGTAATGAAGGGTAGCTCAGAGCTGGCAGAAGTTGAAGTGGGTAGTGGCCATTTTGGGGATGATGGAACTGTTTTGCATCTTGACTGCAGGCTGTGGTTATCACATATAGAAAATAGCTGTATGGCTAAAATCATGATAATATACATCCAAATATTTTAAAAATTTAACTATGAAAAGCAATGTATTAAATGAGAAGCTCTGGTGGTGGAATTTGGAACCTTATGACATGAAGTCATAAGAAAAACTTGGGGGAGGGGGAATCTTTCTGAAACACCGTGGTACCACCCCACACTCAGGAGTAGGCCAAGAGCCTGCACTTCCTGTTCAGCCAGAGCCACGATAGGAGGGAGAGGGTGAGGTGTAAAAAAGACCTTTTGTGTTCTCTTTCTTGTCTTCCCAGAAGGACTGTTTCTCTTCCTGTGGGAAGGCAGCAGTGTTGAGAAAGAGTGCCTACTGGTGGGACCCCCACACTGCTCCCCCTTCCCTCCTTCCCCATGACCACCAGCTCTCCATCAATAGGTCAACAAAAGCTGCAGTACCTCAGGGCAGATGTGCCGATAAGTGGGAAACAAGAGGAAAGTCCCAGAGGACAGCAAGAGAGAGAGGGCACTTGCCTGTCCCCACAGGATCATTGTTCCAGATCTTTGTGGAAAGAGGCCTCCTACTCCCTTGTAAAGTGCACACACACACACACACACACACTGCCGTGATGACATTCATACAGATATATGTATACAGTCACAATCACACGTAGCAGCACACAGACCTGCACACACACAGATACACATCCTTCTTTATTTCCTTTGCTCTACTACCAAAGTCACCAGTAAACAGAAATCTCAGACAGGACTGTGGGTGCTGCCATGAGGAAATCTCCCTCCCTCTGCCCAGGGGTACCTGCCATCTCCTCTGTGACTAGACTAGTCTCAGGGGTTACATTTCATTTTCTAAACACTTGCTTTGTTTCCACCAGATAACAGATCTTACTGCTGGGTTCAGGAGCCCAAGGGCTCAGACTGCTCAGCTCAGGTACATTTTATGTCCATGGTCAACTCAGAGTCTTGAGAGCCCAGTTTTGTGTTTACTGCAAATTCCCCTGCCCTCAACCTTCCCTTAAGCCCTCAAATTTTTTAACTCTGAAAGTTGGGGTTCTCCTGCATCTCAGGGACCTGCTTGATTAAAGTTACCAGGGACAATTAAAAAAAATCCTGATGTCTGAACCCCAATCCAGACCCACTGAGCCAGGATTTCTGGGCTAAGGCTAGCATCAAGATTTCTACTAAGAGGGCCATCCCTCGTGGTGCAGTGGGTTAAAGCGTAGCACTATGAAGCTAACTGCAACCGCTTCAATACAAGTTCAATCCCAGGCCAGGGAGATGACCAACGTGGGCTGTTCAGATTTCTCCTGCCTCACCTGCTGCTCCCCTCAGCAGTATACTTAACAGTCTGCCTGTTCTGCTCTCCACTCTGTCTCTGGTGAATCCACTCCCCCCCATCTCTGGCCTGTACCCCAGTTCTGTATGCACAAATAAATAAATCTTTAAAAAAAAAAAAAAGACAACAGATTTTATGAAAGAAGCTGGCCAGGTGGTCTGTTGTGCAGACAGGGCCAGACCAGAGACTGCTCAGCACCACCCTGCTGAGACCAGCCCAGTACAACCCCGCTCCCTTCATTCATCTGAGCTCCTACTGTAGCTGATCCCTTGCACTAACTCTAAACTGGGCTGTCTCTGGTGCCTGGTAGTGGGAGGACAGAGAATAAACCCCAAACCTGCTAAAATAAATTACTATATGATCAGTCCTATGTTCAGAGGAACATGATGGAAAACACAAGGGGGGCGGGGCGGGGAGGGGACCTCATGGTGGATTGGGGAGGCCTCTGCAAAGAGGCACTTATTTGAACAAAGACCCAAAGAGAAGACACCATGTAGCGGTTTCCAGCATGCATGGGACACTGAGCCCTCTGTAGGGCTGGGCAGGAGAAGCCCCCAACAACATAGAACTTTCAGTGTATAAAAGTATTACTAGAATTTCTAGATGAACTTCTATGGCAAATCCTTTGGCTTCCTTTCCTTCACAAAGGCCACTGAGACAGGACTTTTGCAGGTGAAAACCCCCAAAGTTTAGAGGATTGGAGGAATTTGAGAAAGACTGAATATGGCAGGGCAGAGACTGACCCCAGCTCTTCCAGGAACAGGGTTTGAGAGAGCTCCTGTTTCTGCCTCTGCAGCAATTGCCAACATCTGAGGCTGCAGAGTTTTTACCTGTTTTCCAGGTAACCTTGAGAGACTGTTAGCCCAGTAAACAGAAACTGACAGGGCAGGACTCCTGAGTATCTCCACATCCTTTCCACCCTGCCACTCCTTTGGCTTTGGATGGCTTGGGATGCACCTACCTGTCTCTCTGTGCTTCTGGGTCTGAGATTGGTATTGTTTGCAATTTGCAAAGTGGGTGCTCCTTGTTCCCTGGGGTGGATTCACTGTGGTCCCAGACTAGGCCTCTGCTACCAGATGGCCAAGTAGCTTAAAGAAAGCTTTTTGAGGCTTGAGTTATCGCCATACCTGTAATCCTTTCCTGAAACCCAACTTTCTAGGTGGCCAAGGAGACCTGCATGATTTGGGAATTTAGTCCATGGACTAGTGTTTTTGGGGAAGGAGACAATCTGGAGCCTGACAGACTAAAATTATTCCACTTCTTCCTGGCTGCGTGACTTTGAGTAAGAAGTCACAATCTCACTCAGCCTCAGTTCCTGCATCTGCAAAATGGTATGGCAATAATTCAAACTTCAAAGAGCTGCCCTGAGAATCAACTGCCTCAAAGATGCCTAGCAAGAACCTAGCACTCATCAGCCTCTCACTGAGCTCCTGCAGGCCTGCTTCCTTTGTCTAAAGCATCAGCCACTACTGTGGCGGAAGACCTATTGTTGGGAAACCTGGCCACATCCATCCCAGAGACAGGGGTCGCGGACTGCCAGGGCTGACCTAGAGGTTACAGGACCCACATTCTCTGCAGTTTCAATTCCACCTCTGGAAGGAGGCATTTTTAATCTGCATTCTTATCTTAATTTTAACCACCCATTCTTAATGGTCAAATAAATAAATCTAGTAGAACTCCAAAAAACGCCAAAGGGCAAGGACAAGAAAACTAAACAGCCTGTATGTGTGGGAAAACAAATGTAGTCTCACAGACTCAGGATGAAGACACTTGAGAAACCTCCCGCCCACTTCTGCCTTGGGACACGCTACAAAATGCAACATCCTAACCCGTTTTAAAAGTTGGTAGTGGTAAGAAATATTTCAATTAGAGATTTGAATGCTGGAGGTTGGAGAGCTGGGACTTCTCGGGGTACCTGGGGGACAGGGAGCTCCCATGGAGACCTAGGCAAGACAGAAGTCTCACAAACCCCAGGGAAATCCTTGTCTAACCTGCAATTCTCACGTGGAGCCTTCTCTACCCGGCAGACAGATGCTTTTACACAAACTGCTCCCCGGTCCTCCCAGAACCCCGGCGGGAGATGCGTCCGATATGACAGATGGGGGATCCCATCTCTGAAAGCCGAACGCTGGCCCAAGAATCTCTCCGGGCCCCCAGCCTCAACCCACTGCAGCGAGATGCGGCGACCCTGCGTCCTCCGGCCTCCGCGTTGCTTCCCCCTGCAACCCTGACCCGGGAAAGGTGGGAGGGACACTGACCTGGGAACCCCGCGACTCGGGGCAGACGAGGAGCAGCAACAGAAGCAAGAGCGCGCGGGGACAGCTGGGCACCATCTTGCCAATCGGAACCTTTCTGCTTGGGTAGGGGAAATAACTTTGCCTCTGCTGCCGCGTTGGTCCCGGCGGGTGCGCGCTGCCCCTGCTGACTGCGGGCTCCACGCCGCCCCGAAGCGGCTCCGGCAGGCGGGAGGCGGGATCGGGGCGAGCGCAGGCGGCCTCGATCACGAGGCGCAGCGTCCGCCCAGGTGCGCGGCGCGCAGGTTTCCGACCGCCCGCGCCCACGAGCGTCCGCAGCAGCTGCACGAGACAGCGCCGGCGAGGCCGGGAGGCGCCAGCCCCTTGGCCAAGGCCAAGGAGGAGGGGCCGCCCGGCCAGGAATGCGCCTGGGAGCGCGCCCAACCCGCGCTCCCCGAAGAGGCCGGCAGAGAGGCCGAGGCATCCTTAGGGCCTCGCAGGGAAGGGCAGCCGAGGCCGCTCGACCGGTACCCCGCACCTACTGGCGCCCAGGAGTCCACCCAGGGCTGGGCCGCTCCTGACCGGCCCCTTGCCCAGCTGGGGAAACTGAGGCTCACATCACGTAGCAATGCATGGTGGAGCTGGAGTCTAATCCAGGTTCATTTTACGTCGAAACCCACGCAAGGCCACCTTTCTCAGAAACCATGATCAGTTTAGCCAGGAGACGGGCTTCATAAACTCGACATGAATTAAACCAAATTCGCCACGAGACTAGCATCTTTTCAAATAGTGCTTCTGGGGAACGAGACACACAACCTGATTTACAGTCTTCTGCTTCTAAATGGAAGTGGAAACTCATCTTAATTTGGAGGCCGGGCTATGGGAGTGTTGGATGATCTGCTGAAACTCGGTGGGAAACACCGCTGGGAAGGCAGACTCAGGCTCCCTGAAAACATTTCCTTTCTCATTGGGAGAAAGTTTTCAGAAAGCTACAACTGAGATGTCCTGAGAACAAGACTGGTGAAGTTTCAAAGATTTCCTTTTCTGAATTGCACTTTTTAGAGCCTGCTCAGAACTCAGGGAATGAACTCAGGAGATTGCAGCTGTGGGCAGGAACTGTTGTCTATTGGAAGCCAGAAAGGAAAGTTGGTGCCCCTTGGGAAGCAAGGGGCATGATGGGCGGTGGGGAAAGGGGCAGGCAGCCACCTGGGCAGCCATTACCCAGAAAATCCTACTGCACTTCTCCCTCCCCTTCCTGCCGAAGAAGTACAACAGGCCAGGTGTCTTACTGGCATTCCTAATTAGACATCTTGGAGACAGACCTGGACAGAACAGTGCTTCTCCCCGCCCAGGCGAGGGCATCAGGCAGGCAGGGCCCAGCCCTGGTCATCTGTGGGAACTGTGGCTTTCTGCCTCCATCTCCTGTGCGTGCTGTCTATGCTGAAGCCCAGCGTCTCTCTCTCTCTATCCCCCGCCCCAGTGATGAAAGGGTTCATTCTGGTCAGTGTGGCCATGTTTATTTTGTATTTTATCCCGCCTTGTGTTTACAGGGCAGCCTCCCCGGAAGGCCAGATCTTCTTAGCCCAGCTCTGGCCACGCGCTGGAAACCACACATTGGCAGATGTAAGCGAGACTTCTCTCCTTGCCCACCATTCTGTGGTTTCCGAAAGCTGGACAAGACGCCTGACTTCACAGATGAAGAAGGTGGCGGGGAGCGCAACTGAGGGACTTGTCCAAAGTATGCAAACCCAGGGCCTGTCCCAGAGCTGGTTTGTTTCCAAGCCAGACCACCTTCAACCTAACTCACTGTTGACTAACATGATCATGGGATTTCAGGGATTTTTATTTACAGGAATAGAATCTTTTCTCATTTTAAAAAAATTATCAAGCATTTCTAAGTTTAAACAGGGATTCCCCC